ATCCTCCTAAGAGGTCTTCTTAACATTCATTTTAATTACTTTCATGTATATTTTTTCAAGTAGATATGTCAACACTCTAATAAATCAATATCTGCTTTTGAACTTTTGCATTGATGCTTATCTTTTTGCTGCAACTAATAGGATTTCGAAACTAAAGAAAAATATTGAAAGTCTAACATGTATATATGAATATATTATATATGTTATAATACCAGTATTAAACTTATTTTAATTTTAATTTCATTTTTTTGTGGTTATTTGTAATGTGTGGAATTCCTCTCAGGAAAATATTTATTTTTCCCTTTCCATTAATCAAACATTTTTGCTATATGTTAATGTTAACAAGATCTTTAGTCTGGACTAGAAGCTACTTAGGGACCTGGTTTCTCCAGAACCTGTTAGAAAGTATGTGAGATAAACAACCAGAGGAAAATACGGTAGTCTTGTCTTGTTCCAACCCTGCACTCTAATTTTGTCATGCTTGCATTCTGAGAGACAGTAGTCTACTAAACAATTTAAGATGTTCAATTCATTTATAAGAAGGGCTACTTAAAAGTGACCAGGATAGTGATGATTTTTTTTTGTTTTTTAATCATTAAACTTTTTTAAGGTTTTCAGTGAGGTTTCCCTCTTGGATCATATGAAAATATCTCTTGATAACACTTTTAAAGTAACTGATTGCAAATTTGAATGATAATTTTTGCAAATTTTGCAAATAATAAATTTTGCAATTCAGAATTTAATATAATTTTTATGCTCTAATAAACTGCTATCTGAATTATTTTATATACTACTTTAGATAATCAAACAATGTCCAACTAGCCATTGTGAAGTTAAACTTAACTAAAATTATTTCCTTATTTCTAACTCCCTACAGTTGATGTTTAAAGCATTTTGTTCAAGAAGGAAAAGAAGCAGCAGCTTGGTCAAGATTAATGTGTATTTAGGTATTCAGTTCATGCTTCTGACCTCACGCCATGCCCTTCCACAATTGTGCACACTGCTATTTCCAAAATTTTAAGGAGGAATAGCATTCGGTCATGTGATAATTTAGATTTGAATGATGAATCAGGCATCATTCTTTGCTGGCATGCTTTCCATGAACATGAATACATGTTGTGTTCTATAATTAGTTATGTGGAGCAACTTGAACTCAGGGAATTTTCATTAACTGTAACTGTAGTAGCTTCTCTTCAGTTAATTAAAGCAAGGTCGGAGGTTCCAGAATTGATCATTGCCCACTTGGAATCCCTTAAACAATATACAGGTTTTCTGTATGGTAAAACACCACTGACAGGTGTGTTTTCGTCTACTAACAGAAGTTCACTCTTCACTGGACTTTATAAATTCCATAGTATTTTCCTGGTGCTATTTAAATAAAGATTGGATTTATATTGCTAATACCTAAGAAATTGCAAGCATTCTCCAAGGGTTCTCAGTACACTTGAACTCTGTTTCTCCTTTTACTTTACTTGTGAGTATATTGATATTTATGTTTAGTTCTCATAATATGCAATCTCCAGCATTCAGTCAAACCTGGCTCTTTGAATGAAAATTCCATTGAAAACTACAAAGTAATTATTAGACATTGCTTCTCACCATATAATACTCAGAGTAGTTATTCAAGTATACTATTTAGAAATACATTTCATCTGCCTGAAACTACAGATAGACACAAGCAATCACTAAATGGAGCTGTGAGATACAGAGATGTTTTCTAAGCCAAAACTATGTGAGGGGTAAAAATTCTTGAATTACATTAAAATCCCCCAAGATGCAGTAGCAGGATGGAGGTCTGAAATTTCTATTTGTCACTTACGAAGTAGTTTCTCAGGGGAGACCTTGCCTTAGCCACAGGTGGGCTTGGAATTCCCAGACCACATTCACCCAGGATGAGTAGCTGGCATCTAGCTTGACTCTGTACTTGGAAGAAGGTTAAGAACATACAGTGGGAGCCAGGCTGTTTGATTGGGCTTCCTTTTCTTCCCAGCATTACTGGAACCTGGCATATTTACTCTGGCAGTGGCAACTCATTCCAGTAGCAGAAGCAGAATCTATTTGGAGTAATTTTACACATTTGCAGCTTCACACTCCTTCTGAGAAATCCATATCTCCAGCCTATGTCCTTCTCCACAGAAACTGGGGTCCCAACACCACAGGGATCCTACAGCAATACATGCTAAGCAGAACTTCCTACCCATAATTTCAGGCCTGCCAGGCCTTTTTTCTATACTAAATATTAGTAGCAGCAAGCTCTTTGTTTTTCCAGCCCTGTATGTATTGCTGCATCCTGCAATTATCAATAAAATGTTTTGCTTTTGCCCTTTAAGTTTCCAATACCCATTTAGCAACTTTTCATAGGCAGTTATGTCTGCTAAACATAACTAGTGTAGATTCTGAGTGCTTTTTTTTTTTTCTAAACAAAGCACTATGGCTTCAGAAATAGCAGAATATTCTTTGTTTCTCTGCAGGTGTGTTTAGTAGCAGTTGGAATTCTCTGGGAAATGCTTAGGGGAAGACAACAAAAACTGGGTAATTCAGAGGTGTGACAGTGGACTACTGTGGAAGAACTATTTACCCACATCATATTTCTATTTCCCTGTCATATACACATTGCTATGTAAATATCAGTATACGTAAAACATTTACCATCACTACGAATGTCTCTAGGAGTTAGCATTGAGTCAGCACTAAATATATACCAGTCATTCTAACATAATATGACTTTCCAAAAACACAAATCATATTTCTGTATCAAAATATATGAACTGCTATGAAATCCCCAAAGTATAAAAGTTTACTATACAAGTAACATTGTAAATAAAATTATGTATCGTGATCATTGACCAATCCCGTCACTTCTGTCAAAGCCTAGAGAGGACTAGTGCTATTGACTGGTCTTTAGCTCACACAAAGCCAGAAATCACAGTTTAAGGTTTCCTGTCTGCAGTGATAAGCACATGTGTCATTGAACAGAAACAGATAATTAAAAGATAGACTTTGTCAACAAAGATGAAAGTGCAGCAAAGTAATTTAGAGTCATAACACTGAAAGTAAATTCAAATTAAATGGAAATGGGTTTATCAAAAAGATAGTTGAACAAAACCATGTTGACTCATCATTGAGACCATCTACATGCATAACATGATAGATAATTATTAGTTTTCCTATAAATCCTCTGTTATTACAGGACAGAGATTAAAACAAATTTAAAGGTTTGTAAAGTCTGCTGCCTCTAGTCAACATAGAACTTTGATGTAGTATAAAGGCAGATAAATTTTAGAAGGTTCTACTAAATTATTTTAAATAGTTAAATTCAAATATTACAAAAAAATTTAAGAATAGGCAACTTCAATGTTAAGCTCCACTATCGAGGTTAATCTATGCAAATAAGCAAGTAAATCTATAGGACAGCTTATTGAAACTTCAAATTTAAAATTTTTAACTATAAAATGTTCTTTTAAATGGTTTAATCAAGAACACCAGTGAATGAAATACATGAAATAGAAGATAATACAAATGGCAGAAAATAAGGTTGAAAACTTGACATACCTGTTGTAGAAATCATCTCTGTAGTAATCATAGTCAAAGACATAACCACTAAGGAGGAGAAGGAAAATAGTCAGAACATGTTTAAATAATGTTAACTTTGAAGTCATAGCAAGAAATTCATGTTATCTTTTAATGACATATTTTAACATAATTATGTATGCAAAGGGTTTTATAAAATAATATACAATTTCATAGTTGTGTTATAATGTCATTACATGTTGGCAATGTAGAGACAGATAATAGTGTAGTTTGGAATTCACGGCAAGTTCAGACAGTAAAACAAATATTTTTAACATTTATACTTAAAAATGAACACAATTGGTGAATATTTTTGTCTTTAGACAAAATACACTGGTTTCTTGTTTCTAGGATAGCAAAATTGCTTGTTCATCCTATGGTGTGCTCAGTGAAGTTGAACATAAAGTAAGCTGAAGACTGGTGGAATGTTTAGTGACCCACTTATTGTAGGGGTGCTAAACAGAAGGATAGATATTCAGCAGTATTTTTCACTCTAAAAACTATTGGTTAAATATTTAGAGACACTTAAAAAAACTCTGCTGAATCCTATCGACAATGCTTTAGTATTTTAAAGTATTTAAATTGGAATAATATATGCATTTCAGGGAAGAAGTTACGATGACAGAGCTCCCTTGGGACTATACAATGAGAACTATGTCTGCTTGATAATGGTTTCTATGAGTACCTTTATATGTACTTTTACCTTTAGTCATCAAAACAACTATGATGTACAGTGTAAGTAAACTTTAAAAGACCCAGGCGAATGAGTGAACTTTTGTCACTACTCTGTGACAGAGCTGCAATTTGAGAATAAAGCTTCTGAATCTGGAGCCATTTTAACATCTTTCAATCCTCTTAAAACAGGAAAAATCTAAATTCTATGGTTTATTTTGTATCTGTAGTATAGAGCAGCAATATTTTATTGTATATTTAGGGTTTTTTTTCATTGTGATAACGCAGAAAGAGCAGAAATTTGTCATTCTAACATTTTTCAGTATATAATTTGAGTGTATCATTCAACATATAATTTTAACCATTTTAAGCTCACTCACACAATTCAGTAGCATTAAACATAATCACAAAGTTGTGGGAACACCAACACTGTCCATTCCAAGAACATTTCCACCATACTAAATAGAAACATAGTTTTCATTAAACAATAACATCTCATTCCCACCTGCTACAACCTGATCACCTTTAATATCCCTTTTCTCTGTATAAATTTTCCTCTTTTAAGAACCTCTCTAATCATGCAGTAGCTGCTATAAATCATGTGGTCACATGATCATTTTTCCTTTTGTTTGGGTTATTTCTCCTAGAATAATGCTTTGAAGGTTCATCTTTTATGTCTTAGATATAAGAATTTCATTGTTTTCTAAGGCTGAATGTTACACACACATTTTCTCACAAACACCATTTTCTGTTTATTCATTTGTTTGTTGGTAGATATTTGGGCTATTTCTGCAATTAGTTGTGATGAATAATGATGCTATGAATCCTGGTATAGAGTAGCCAAATCATTTCACTTGGGTATAAATATCTAAAAGATAATCTCTGGGTCAAATTATAGTTTTATGTTTGTTCGTAGAGCCAGTTTATGACAGAAGCATAATTTTATCTTTCCAAATCAATTTAATAGTCATTTACTTTGCAACTATTCTTATATCAGGAAAACTGAAAGACCTTTATTAAGAAGGGATTGCTATTCTTGGTTTTAAGGACAAATCCACATATGTCTCCTTAGATTTCCTCTTCAGAGAAAGAAAAAGCCTGACTTAGCCTATTCACTCTATGAGGATTGATCTGTCTCTAGTGTTGACTTATGTAGCACATACTGTATGAGTTGAGGTTCTGAAATATAAAATGGAAGCCTATTTCATCTAAGTATCTGACTACAACATCATACATTTTCTGGCCAGAGTAATGCTGTGTTCATCCTGGTAAACCCACCTTTGTTTGGTAATGCAGATTATTAAAATAGTAATTGTTTATCTTGTGGTTTATACTGTTGGCATAGACACAACTGTCCCTTCAGCTGAGGGATTTCAATGACAACCTACTGGTTGCCACTGAGCACTGCAGCATAAAAGTCTCCTTGAAACCTCTCTGATAAACTGGTGCATAGCTTCCCTTCATTAGATTTACTTACCTCGGCTGAAATCAAGGTAGATGAAGACCTTTGCCAAACCCTTTCACTGGGAAGTCTTCTTTGAAGTTAGACTCCTAGTTCACATAGCTACTCTTCACTGCATCTTATGTTCAATAATATTTAAGAGAATGTTGGTAGAAGACCAGGGTATATTTAATAGAACTCTTGCTTTAATAACACCAACGAAGGCTTCAACAATCAAATCCAAAGGCAAAAATATCTAAACCTGCATATAACCATGTACCTGTAGTGGGAAATCTAGTTTGAAACCATATACTTCTTTTTTTATTTAATAACCACATTATTAGAAGCATTCCATTACAGCATTAACACATTCAATAACAATTTCCAGAGCAAAGATGCATGTATTGCAATATTGGCTGTAAATTTTTAGGTTCACAGTTGAATTAATACACTTAGAGTACTGAACTCAGTATAAACCCTATAAGACATAAAATTGAATGAGATTTTAAACTCCATTTCATTTTAACAGATACTGTTTCATACAGAAAAACTAATTTTCAAGGCTACTAACACTTAGATGTTTGCACATGTGTCTTTAATCTCTATGTATCTATTTATTACTAGTCACAGTTGGTTACTTTCTGAGATCTACCTGAACATTGACATAAAATCATCAGGTAGATTTCAATAGTTATGTGGTTCACCTCTACTAATTAACATGGAGAAAATTTTTATGATTCATCCTCAAATATAACTCTCTTCTTTAATTTGTTTATTTTTTGTATGTATTTCATATAAAACATCCCAAACAATCTTATTCATCTATATACCCACATCCCAAATGACATCCTCCCATAGTCTCCCTACCACCCCTGGAGCCGATAACTGTACTCCCCGTTACTGTCCACTATGTTGTCAGAGCCCCAAGCCATTCTCCAGTGCTTGTCCATCTGCTGAATCTAGTCAGCCTATCTAGAGTTTCTTGTTTTAGAGAGATCAGCTCTTCTTCATCTAGCAGCAATCAGTTGCCAATATTCCTTTAGGTAAGATTGGGATCTGCTGTTCATTTTCCTAGTTCTATGCTGGGTTACTGTTTGGGAGTCTCTTGGGCCACCCTGGCCAACAACTTAAAGGAAGGTATCCCCTGTCTGGCATTTCTTGTTGTATAGCTTTTAGCTATACACATGGACTCTTAAAGAATTATATTGATCCCTTTAATATTGGTTATACTTTCCTTTTGGGTGTTTAAGACCCTACAGTTGACCCAATTTATTTTTACTCTTAAGGTTGTTTGAGGATCTGGCCCTCAGGAGACACATGGGCTTTGGAAGAGCCCCTGGCTCCTTATATTTACCAGTTTCATCTATGTAAAGGTAAGTCAAAGGTCCTACTTGATCATGGCTGGCTTCACTTGGAAGCATGGAGGAAATATTTCCTCTGTGTTGAACCTCCTATTTGTAGACCGGACACTAGTTCAAGTCCATTGGGTGGGGTCTCCATGGCCTCCTTGGTCAAGAGGACATGTGATGCACCACAGTTACAGGATGTTTTGAGAGATGTTCATAGTCCCCTGGAGCTTAGTTGACCTAGGAGGGCAAGGAGCAAAAACTGTCCTTTGTGTCCCTCTGGCCCAATTAGTATAGGCCTCAAAGTATGGCTGTTAGACATCCAAGAAGGTTAGATCAACCAGTCTGGTACTTTTAGCTACCATGTGCTATGTAGATAAAGCCTGGGTAAAGACCAAACATTCTCAGATAAACCTTGCCTAGACGTCTATTGCAATCCTTGAGCTAGGTGTATGTATAACTTGTCAGTAGTTTGTTCTATTAATATGGTTCCCTCTGGTTTTTTAAAACTAGCTACGCATTATTTATCACTCACATTGTCTAACCCTTCCACCATGGTTTCCCCATTTAAGTACCCCCATTTGTCCTTTAATAATACCCTTCTCCTATGGTCCCACCTCTCTTGAGCTCCTTTCCTTTCATCCCTGAGGTTCCTTGTATGACCCTCCCTCCCCTTAAAATAACCCCATTTTTATCCATATCTCCCTTATTAATGCCTGGGAAACCATATACTTCTATAGTCTTCTTTACACATAGTCATATTTAATCTTTATTGTAAGGCATAAGAAGAACAGAATTCTTCCAGCTTTGTTAGATCCTGTGTTCTAGAGATGTTAAATGTCTGAGATAACACAGGCAAGTCCTGCAGTGTGATCATTCACATAAATCTTTCTTCAAAATTTGATGAAGAGCAGGACATCAGGGACTGAACATGGCATTTGACTTTAAAAGCCATAGTTTCTGTCTTTGCCTATAATTTCAGTCTAGTTGAACAACAAGATGGCCTCAGTGATCTTTTCTGCTTCATTAAACTTCAGATAGGTTTTTCCTTACCCCAGACCCTGCCTTCCAATTTTCATAGAGCTTTTACTTTACAAAACATACAGTGATGCATCTTAATTCTCTCTCTCTCTCTCTCTCTCTCTCTCTCTCCCTCTCCCTCTCTCTCTATCTCCTCTCTCTCTCTCCCTCTCTCTCTCTCTGAAACTTTCTCAGTGGCACAACCCAGAAGCATCTTTCTTAAGGACCTAGGAGCTTTCCCTTTGACAACAATAGCCTAGGAAGTCAATTCCTAAATGAACCTCCACTCTCTCTCCCTTTACTGCTCCAGCTTCCAGTATCCACTATCATGCTTATACTTCTTATTGCAACAAGCTTTTTAACTTCCGTATTTGATAAAAAGAATAAACTAGGAAGTATTTTATAACAGGGCTTCTTAAATTTTTTAACTTGAATCCTCTTTTCATTCAAAAGAATTTTATGCGATCCTGGGCATATGAGTATATAAAATAGATATAAAATGAAACATTTATTGATAATAAACTGTGAAATTTATTTTAAATCACTTTTTT